AGCGGACGAGGAATTCGATCCTTCAAGATCCATGGGGGTGACGAATCCGATGGCTCGAAATTTTAATGATGGGCTCCGATGCAGGACGCGCCATCGCGGGTGGTCTTTGTCGTAGTAGTTGGCTTATGGTCAGGATGTAGAGGCGAAGGAGACTGGCGTAGAATGATGGACTGATGTACCAGTCGGTGGGTAACATGAGATGGGCGTTGCGGCGTAAGCATGTGGCTCATATGGAACGGACCACAGTAGCGAGGTCGAAGTTTTGGCACGACGGGCAGGCGTAGGTTCTGGGTGTCGAGCGGAATGTAGACTCCTGACTGGTACGCGACAAGGCGGCGGTGGCGATCGGCGATTCTCTTAGCGATGACATTCGCCCCCTTTGAATGCATATACAATCGGCGAACTGTTTTTTTTTCACGTGGTGTTGGGTTGTCCGGACTCGGCGTCATGGGCGCTATAGGGCTTTGCCCATTATTCACGTAAAACGGCGGCTGATGGGTGGTTGTTGACGTGGCGTTGTTGTATGCATACTTGATCAACAACAACTTCTTCTCCCATGTTCTGGGGTCGTCATACATGGCGCGAATCTGCTGCCCCATGGTCTGGTTCGTTCTGTCGGTGTGTCAGTTGGTCTCGTGGTGGTAGGACAAACTGAACGCCCCGAAGTGCTCCCAAAGATTCTTCCGGAAGTTGCTTGTGAACTTCGTGTCCCTGTCTGTGATGATGGCTGCTGGTATGCCGTGAAGGCGAACAATGGCTGCAATGAACAGGCGAGCAGTTCATCGGCCGAGATCGATTTCTTGAACGCAGCGAAATGAGCCATTTTCGCCAGCCTCCCAACAACGACCACGACCACGTCGTTACCATTGGGCCTCGCTGATAACTCCGTGATAAAATACATGGTCACCTGCTGCCAGACTCGTTCGGGTGGCAGAATTGGTTGTAATTGACCCGCCTTCTTCTTCCGCGAAATTTTCCATCACCTGACACATGGGGCACGATCCTACGTGGTGCTGCACGTCGGTCAACAGCTCAGGCCAGTAGTAGTACCGCTGCAGTTGTTGTCGCGTTTTTTCTACCTCGAAGGGACCCCAAGTAACGCCATCATGTTGTTAGAATAGTAGCTAGACTTAGGAGCCATGACTAGTGAGTGTCGAGAGAGTTGAGTGTCGAGGGAGGATGGAAAGGAGAATGTCGAGAGGAATGATGGTTTCACTATAGCACACAAGGTACATATAGCAAAATGAACAAAGGTGCACCACCAAACAATAGGAGCTATACTACAGTAAATCCTACAGGCAGTTATATAACAGAACATATAATTATATTTTCTGACACACCCCCATAACTGCCTGCAGGAGAAAACCTGTGTAAAACATCCCTTGAAGGGGTACACCCGGTGCAGTGGAAGACGGCAGAGAGGTAAGTGAGGAGGAGGATGCGAGAGAGAGAGAGAGAGAGAGAGAGAGAGAGAGAGAGAGAGAGAGAGAGAGAGAGAGAGAGAGAGAGAGAGAGAGAGGAGGGGAGAGGAGATAAGAACGAAGGAGGAGGTAAGTGAGAGAGATGAGGAGAGGAGGTGGGGGAGCGTGCATGAGCATGACAGCTCACTGCCGGCCATCCCTCTTACTAAACCCCTTTACAAAGGGGGAGGTGAGTGAGGGATGAGGAGAGGAGGTGGGGGAGCGTGCATGAGCGTGACAGTTCACTGCCGGCCGGCCCTCTTAACAACCCCCAAGTCCTCACCCTCAATTGAACCACCCCCTTAATCTCACCCCCCTTATCAGCTGCCCCCTTGTATCTCACCCCCCTTCCCCCCTTCCTTCCTCCAACCCCTGCCCCACCCACAATAGTCCCTGCACTGATCTTCACACGGCGGCCTGCCCCCTCTCCCCCACCCCCCATCCCCGCCACCTCCCCCCCACAGCAGCAGCCGCGGGAGGGGAGAGGCAGGGCAGAGGGTGGGGCTGTAGTGGTTCACGGCGGCCACCCCTTCCACGCCACCTCCCCCCCAAGGATGGAGGAAAAAGGGGGGGTGGGGGGGGGGGGGGGGGCTGGTGCTGCAGATCCCCTCCCCCCCACTGCTGCACCCGCAGCAGGGGGAGGTAGGAGAAGGGGGGCGGGGGGCTGGTGCTGCAGATCCCCTCCCCCCCACTGCTGCACCCGCAGCAGGGGGAGGTAGGAGAAGGGAGGGCGAGGGGGGGGGCGGGAGGGGGCTGGTGCTGCAGATCCCCTCCCCCCCACTGCTGCACCTGCAGCAGGGGGAGGTAGGAGAACGGGGGGGGGGGGCGGGGGGCTGGTGCTGCAGATCCCCTCCCCCCCCCTTGCTGCACCCGCAGCAGGGGGAGGTAGGAGAAGGGAGGGGGGGGGGGCGGGGGGGGGGGGCTGGTACTGCAGATCCCCTCCCCCCCACTGCCTCTCCACAATCCTTCACCCCCCAAGGATGGAGGAAAAAGGGGGGGCGGGGGGGGGCTGGTGCTGCAGATCCCCTCCTGCCTCCCCCTGAACTTCCAAGCTCCCCCCCTCTCCCAACACAAGGTGCGGCAGGGAGAGAGAGAGGAGGAGGCGCGGCGGCAGCTGCTGCTGCTGAGGCACATCCGCCACCCCCTCACACCCTCTCCCCCCCGTCCCCATGGAGGGGGGGGGGAGGGGGGGGGAGGGGGGCGGGGGCGGAGCTGTCCGTTCGCCTGTGTCGCTGAGTCGCGTCCTGTGTCGCCTGTGTCTCGTTCTACGTCTCCTGTCCGTTCTCTTCGCACTGTTCGTGTCTCGCGTCCGCGTCCTCCTCCTGTCCCTGGCACCCACTCTATGACTCTGCGTCCTTCTACTGCTCCACAGCGTGTCCCTCTGCCGTCTCCTCCTGCGTCCTCTCTTCCTGACGGTCCTGACCCTGCGTCTGACTCCCTTCGTGCTGCTAGTCCTACTGTCACGCGCTTTCTGGCCACTGCTGTCACTGACCCTCTGTTTGAGTCCTCTTTTGCGTCTGCTCTTGTTGCTGAGCTTGTTGACTTTGCTGCCGCCTGTCGCCTAGACTACGCCGCTAGTCTTGTTGCTGAGTCTGCGTCTGTGTCTGTCTGTCCTCCGTCCGTCGGGGGTGAGTGTGCTCTTGGCACGGACGTTCTTGAGGACAGACAGGAGGAGTTTGAGTGCTTTGCTGCCTCTGTACCTCATCTCGTGTCCATGCTGCTGACCCCTGAGGGAGACACGGATGCACTAGACATCCCGACCCCGCGCTCTTACGCAGAGGCGATAGAGGGTCCCTACTCCTCTCAGTGGCAGGCAGCCATGGATGCAGAGATGGCTTCCTGGAAGTCCACAGGCACCTACGTAGACGAGGTTCCCCCACCTGGGGCGAACATCGTCAGTGGCATGTGGATCTTCAGGGTGAAGCGGCCGCCGGGTTCTCCGCCTGCCTTCAAGGCGCGTTACGTTGCACGTGGCTTCAGTCAGCGACAGGGAGTTGACTTCTTTCAGACCTTCTCCCCTACCCCGAAGATGACCACTCTTCGGGTACTGCTGCACGTTGCTGCTCAGCGTGACTACGAGCTCCACTCGCTTGACTTCAGCACAGCCTTCCTGCAGGGCAGCCTGCACGAGGAGATCTGGCTGCGCCGCCCACCTGGCTTCACTGGGTCGTTTCCTGCTGGTACCCAGTGGAGCCTCCGGCGGCCAGTCTACGGTCTCCGCCAGGCACCCCGTGAGTGGCACGACACACTGAGGACGACTCTTGCTGCTCTTGGTTTTGCTCCTTCCACTGCTGACCCTTCTCTGTTTCTACGTACTGACACTACTCTGCCGCCGTTCTACGTTCTCGTGTACGTAGACGACCTCGTCTTTGCTACTACTGACACTGAGGTACTCGCCCACGTGAAGTCCGAGCTGCAGAAGAGACACACGTGCACAGACCTGGGTGAACTGACAAGCTATCTTGGCTTGCGGATCACCCGGGACAGAGCACAGCGCACCATTACCTTGACTCAGTCACACATGGTGCAGCAGGTCCTTCAGCGCTTCGGCTTCACGTACTCCTCGCCACAGTCCACTCCTCTGCCTACCGGTCACTCGCTCTCAGCTCCACCTTCGGACGAGTCCGTAGAGCCGAGTGGCCCGTATCCAGAGCTTGTGGGCTGCCTCATGTACCTGATGACCTGCACACGACCTGACCTCGCATACCCTCTCAGCCTTCTGGCTCGCTACATGGCTCCCGGCAGGCACCGAAAGGTGCACTGGGATGCTGCAAAGAGGGTGTTGCGATACTTGTGCAGTACATCGGGCATGGGGCTCGTGCTTGGAGGACGGGCTCGAGTTGTCCTCACTGGTCACGCTGACGCCTCCTGGGTTGACGACTTGGCTACGCAGCGGTCGTCACAGGGTTACACCTTCAGTCTTGGCTCCGGCTCTGTTTCTTGGCGGTCTACCCGCTCTTCTTCTGTTCTTAGCTCCAGTTGTGAGGCTGAGATCTACGCTGGAGCCATGGCTGCACAGGAGCTTCGCTGGCTCCCCTACCTTCTGACCGACTTGGGAGAGGCACCTCGGTCTCCTCCAGTTCTGTACGTCGACAACAAGGCCATGCTGGCCTTGTGTCAGGAGCACAGACTGGAGCACAGAACGAAGCACATTGCTCTGCGCTACTTCCTTGCTCGAGAGTTGCAGCAGCGTGGCCAGCTTCGTCTTGCTTACGTGGCCTCTCAGGCCAACACTGCTGATGTTTTCACCAAGGCACTTCAGCCTTGTGATCATCAGCGTTTCTGTACTGTGTTAGGCCTTGTACCTACTGTGCCTCACTTGTTGACTTCTTGACTCTGCTTGTACTGTACTCTGCATGCTTATATTGCTAGGTTGTGTTCACTGTATTGTTTGCTTTCCTTTATATAACTCTGCATGTGAACTGGCCTTGCGGCCCTTTGCTTGTGCTCAGACTGCGTGGTGACTTTGTGATCCACCCTGAGCTTGCTTTGTCTTTCTTGACTGGTCTTGTGACCTCTTGTTCTCCCCCGACTTTGCCTATGGGGGTGTGTCAAACTTATATCTACTATAGTCTGTTTAGGCTGTAGTGGGGTAGTTCTTAGAGGGTACAACACTTTTGTGTTCTCTACTTGTACCCACCTCGTTTCTAGTTCAATCATTCCTCAATTCTCTCACACGGGGTGGTGGAGGAGGCAGCGGTGGTGGTGGAGGTGGCAATGGGAGCGGTGGTGGGGGCAGCGGTGGAGGTGGTGGAGGCAGTGGAGGTGGTGGCGGCGGTGGGACTGGTGGCGGCAGTGGGGGCTCTGGTGGCGGCAGTGGAGGCAGCGGAGGGAGTGGCGGCAGTGGAGGCGGTGGGACTGGTGGTGGCAGGTCTGGACCTCGGCGTGGAGGCCCTGGTGGTGGACAGCGACAGCAACAGCAGCGTCGGAGCGAGACCCAGTCGCCTAAGCAGCTCTGTGAGTGGTTGGTTCAGCGTGGGCCGGGTGGGGGTAGTGAGAGCTGCCCGTATGTCATTCGCACGGATGTCCGTGCGGGCCAGACATGCGGGAGGCTTCACACTGAGCACCGCTGCTTCGCCCGCCTTGACGACGCCTAGCGTGCTGAGTTTGGTGACGACGTCGAGCGCCCTTGTTGGGCGGAGTTGCTTAGGTCGGGAGTTGCTATCTTTGACCTACACTATGATGCTATTATCTCTGCCATGTATGCTTTGTCTTTTTGTGCTGAGGGTGACTGTTACCGGTGTGTGCCACCTGACCCAGGTAAAGCGGCTGCTGCTCTTGATGCTAGTGCGTCTGGTACTCCCCCTGGTACTGCGCCTGCTGAGGCCTTGCACACCTTCACGTTGGACTCCGGCGCCTCGCGCTGTTTCTTTCGTGACAGCACCACTCTCACTCCTCTCCCTGCACCTGTCCCGGTCAGACTGGCTGACCCCTCTGGGGGCCCGGTAGTTGCCCGTTCCTCCACAGTGCTCCCATGTTCGGCGGTTCCGTCCGGCTCACTGTCAGGCCTTCACCTCCCCTCGTTCTCTACAAACTTGGTGAGTACAGCTGCCCTTCAGGATGCGATGGTCACTACCACCACTCCTGGGGGTCAGCGTGTGTCGATCTGCACGTGCACACGGACGGGGCGTCACCTGGCTACGTTCACTCGTCGGCCAGGGTCGAGTCGGTACACGCTGGCTACCAAGCCTCCTCAGGTACACTGAACGAAATTATTGTCTTTATGCATTCGAAATGTATGATAACTTGCACCCAATTGGGGCCTAAACAAGTTTTGTAATAAACATATTGCATACAGGGTTCGCGATTGACAGTTACGAGTTTGTATAGGCTACCTATAGCCCCAAAAAAACCTCTTGCTCTAATGAGTCAGCTCTTCCCTCTCGACACCCCACACGGACAAATATTTCCGAAATGTCCCGCGACTTATTTCGTGCGCTATTAGATCTAGACTAGTTAGGTTCATAGGAGATTAAGGGCGGATACTACGATCTACGAGTAGCGCTAACACCCCCGCAGCATGAAGCGCCTTAGCGAGGAGAAACAGAAGCGCATCATGGAGCGAATTGCGGAGGGGCGTAGTTACCGCCAAATCGCGCAGGAGTTGGGAGTTTCAAAGTTTGCCGTCCATGACGAGCTCCTCCGCCACCTTGGTCCGAAAACGTTCGACGAGCTAGTGCCGTCCCCGGCGAAACCTGGTCGGCCGCGCAAGTTACCAGAGCAAATCGCGAGGATAGTTATAAGGTCGATAGTGTCTGGTGAATCGAAATCCGCCGAGGCCGCAGCGGGAATGATATCCTCTACGCACGGCATTAGTGTCACGGGCGCCACCGTGCGAAACACTCTCAAGCGGCACAGAGTTAGGGCGATAGAAAAGCTGTCGAAGCCTAGATTATCCGCGAAAAATGTCAAAGACCGCAGGCAGTGGGCCAAGGACCATCAGCACTGGACGATCGACGACTGGAAACGCGTGGTGTGGAGCGACGAAACGAAGATCAGCCGGTTTCGTAGCGACGGCCGTAGTTGGGCCTGGATTAGGGAGGACTGTCACATGGAGCCGCACCATGTGAAAAAGACCGTCAAACATGGCGGCGGCTCCATCATGATTTGGGGGTGCATGACATACAACGGCGGGGGTTTCATGTGCAAGATAGAGGGAAGAATGAACGGCGAGTTGTACCGTTCAATCCTGCAAGACGAGCTGCAGCAGACTATTGAGCATTACGAGTTGGATCCCGAGACCGTTGTGTTCCAGCATGACAATGACCCGAAGCATACATGCAAGATGGTCAAAACTTACCTTGCCGAGCAGCCGTACTCTGTGCTCCCATGGCCAGCATCTAGTCCGGACCTCAACCCCATAGAACATCTGTGGGTTTACTTGAAGAAGCAGCTGCTTGCTTACCCCCGCCCCCCTGCAGGCATTCTCGAGCTATGGGACAGAGTACAAGTGGAATGGGAGAAAATCCCTGCGGCTTGGTGCAGTGAGCTGATCGACAGCATGCCTAGGCGTGTGCGGGCTGTGCTCAAGGCCAAGGGTCGCTGGACCAAGTACTAGATTCTGCTTGGTTTGCATGTGTGACTGTAATTGTAAAAAACGGTCCTTATGCTAGTATTTGCCTATTTCTATATTCGCTGATTGTTTAACCGAGTTTATGACCAACATGCAGCGTGTTTAGATGTACAACCCTTCGGGCTTTAACCTCATGTGGTCCAGTTATTAAGGCTTAATCACCATGGCCACTAATGCCCATTCATGTCTTGAAACATGAACATGTGGACAATTATTTCGTTCAGTGTAGCTGCGTCTGCTCAGGTGTCTGCGTCAGGTCAGGTAGTCGCCTCTTGCTCGTGTCGCCTCCTGTCGCACCAGACTCTTCGGTGGCACCACCGCCTGGATCACCCCTCCCTGCCACGCCTTCGTGGCATACACTCCCGTCTCCATGTCTCTGGTCTCCCCAGGTCTCTGCCTTCCTTACCGCCCGCGCCTGCCCCGCCCTGCCTTCCTTGCGACGAGGGGCGGCAGCGCGCCGCTCCTCACTCCTCCTCGTTTCCCCCGACGACTGCTCCCCTGCAGACTCTCCACATGGACGTGTGGGGCCCAGCCCGCGTCAGTGGACAGGGCCACGAGCGCTACTTTCTGCTGGTTGTTGACGACTACACGCGATACACCACGGTCTTCCTCTTGCGCAGCAAGGGTGAGGTCTCTGCTGTCTTGATCCATTGGATCCAGCACTGTCCGTCTCCAGCTACGCGAGCGGTTCGGCCAGGACCTTCCTGTCCTAGCGTCTGCACTCTGACAGAGGTGGTGAGTTCTCCTCCGATCTCTTGCGGGACTTTTGTCGTGGGGAGGGCATTCTCCAGTCGTTCACGCTTTTGGACTCCCCTCAGCAAAATGGGATTGCTGAGCGCCGTATTGGCTTAGTCATGGAGGTCGCTCGTACCTCCATGATCCATGCGGCCGCTCCCCATTTTCTGTATCCGTTTGCGGTCCGGTACGCTGCGCATCAGCTCAACCTCTGCCCCCTTGTCTCCTTGCCGGAGACCTCGCCCACACTGCGTTGGACGGGGAAGGTTGGCAATGCGTCGGTGTTCCGGGTCTGGGGTTCTCGTGCCTTCGTTCGCAATACGTCCGCGGACAAGCTCTCCGCCCGCGCCATTCCCTGCGTCTTCCTTGGCTTTGTCCCTGACGCGCCTGGCTAGAAGTTTTACCACCCCACCTCACGCCGTGTCCTCCCGTCTCAGGACGTCACGCTCGACGAGTCAGTTCCCTTCTACCATCTCTTCCCCTACCGCTCTGCCCCTCCCCCGCCCCCGTCGCTCTTCCTTGCTCCCGGTCCACCTCCGGTAGACTCCCTCCTGCCCCAGGGTCCTGCTCCCTTGGGAGTGTCTCAGGTAGATCCTCTCCGTGGTACTGCGCTTGTTCAGGTAGCTGTCGGCTCAGGTGCTGCTCGGGGTGCTGTGTCTGGGGGTGCTGCGTCTGGGGGTGCGGAGCCGGGGGATGCGGGGTCTGAGGGTGCTGGGTCTGGGGGTGCTGAGCCTGAGGGTGTTGAGCCTGGGGGTGCTGAGTCGGAGGGTGCGGAGTCTGGGGGTGCTGAGCCTCGGGGTGCTGCTTCGTCTGAAGGTCCCGCTGGTGCTTCGCCGCGACTGTCCTCGCAACAACTGCGTGAGTGGCTTGTTCGGCGCGCACACCGTCGGAGTGGAGCTCCCGGAGCTGGAGAGACTGGAGACACTGGAGCTGGAGGTGCTGCTGTTACTACTGGAGCTGGCGGTACTGGAGGTACAATGGCTACTGGTCCTCGAGGTGCTCGTACCAGTGGTGGTGGAGCTGCCAGGACTGGTGGTGTTGGCTGCGCTGGAGCTGGAGACCCTACGGAGCCTGGAGCAGCTGGCGCTGGAGGCGCTGGAGCTAGAGGAGCTGGAGTTGGAGGCCCTGGCGCAGGAGGCGCTGGGGCTGCAGGAGCTGGAGCTGTTGACCCTGGCGCTGGAGGTGCTGGAGCTGCAGGAGCTGGAGCTGTTGACCCTGATGCAGGAGGTGCTGTAGGCACTGTGCGGCCGCGACCGTACTTTGTTCCCCTGCTTCAGCAGGTTCTTGGTGTCCCGTCTTCTACTGGTCTTCCTCCTCCCTTCCTGTGTCCACCGCCTGACCAGTCGCAGCCGCCGTTACAGCCAGCCTCCCCGCTGCCTGCTCCCTCTCCTTACACTGAGCAGTCCGGCGGTCTTAGAGAGCGTCGTGAGCCAGCGTCTCGTCCTGTCTCGCCTGTTCGCACTGCTCGTCGCGCTCCTCGTTCGCGTCCTCCTCCTGTCGTCGGCACGCACGCTATGGCACTCCGTCCTTCCTCTGTTCCACTGCGTGTTCCTCTGCCGCCTCCTCCTGAGTCCTCTCTTCCTGAGGTCCCTGACCCTGCGTCTGACCGCGCGCGTGCTGCTAGTCCCACTGTCGCTCGTCTCCTCGCCACTGCTGTCACTGACCCTTCCTTTGAGTCTGCTGCTGCGTCTGCTCTCGTTTCTGAGCTGCTTGACTTTGCTGCCTGCCTGCCGTCTCGACTACGCCTCTGCTCTAGTTGCTGAGTCTGTGCCTGCCAGTCCTCCGTCCGTCGGGGGTGAGTGTGCTCTTTGCACGGACGTCCTTGAGGACAGGCAGGAGGACTTTGAGTGTCTTGCAGCTGCTGTACCTCGGTTCGCTTCCTTGCTGCTTGCCCCTGAGGGAGACCTGGATGCTCCAGACATCCCGACCCCGCGCTCTTACGCAGAGGCGATTACGGGTCCTTACTCCTCTCACTGGCAGGTAGCTATGGATGCCGAGATGGCATCCTAGAAGTCCACAGGCACCTACGTCGACGCAGTTCCCACGTCTAGGGCGAACATAGTTGATGGCATGTGGATTTTCAGGGTGAAGCGGCCGCCGGGTTCTCCGCCTGCCTTCAAGGCGCGTTATGTTTCTCGAGGCTTCAGTCAGCGACAGGGAGTTGCTGCATGTCGCTGCTCAGCGTGACTACGAGTTGCACTTTCTGGACTTCAGCACAGTTTTTCTGCAGGGCAGCCTGCACGAGGAGATCTGGCTGCGCCGACCACCCGGTTTCACTGGGACGTTTCCTGCAGGTACTCAGTGGAGCCTCCGTTGGCCAGTCTACGGTCTCCGCCAAGCGCCTCGCGAGTGGCACGACACACTGAGGACTACACTTGCGGCTCTTGGGTTTGCTCCTTCTACAGCGGACCCGTCGCTGTTTCTACGCACCGACACCTCGCTGCCGCCGTTCTACGTCCTCGTGTACGTCGACGACCTCGTCTTTGCCACTGGTGACACTGAGGCACTGACTCTTGTGAAGTCCGAGCTGCAGAAGAGACACACCTGCACTGACCTGGGTGAACTGCGCAACTATCTTGGCCTGCAGATCACCCGGGACAGAGCACGGCGCACCATCACACTGACTCAGTCACACATGGTGCACCAGGTCCTTCAGCGCTTCGGCTTCCAGTTCTCCTCGTCACAGCCCACTCCTCTGTCTACCAGCCACTCGCTCTCAGCTCCACCTTCAGACGAGTCCGTAGAGCCGAGTGGTCCGTACCCAGAGCTTGTGGGTTGCCTCATGTACCTGATGACGTGCACACGACCTGACCTCGCGTACCCTCTCAGCCTTCTGGCTCGCTACGTGGCTCCCGGTAGGCACCGAAAGGTGCACTGGGATGCTGCGAAGAGGGTACT